TTTAAGAAAGATCTAATCCTAAATTAATATCAACGAGGATAAAACGAGGAGGTATGACAATGCGCGTGCGTTTGGGTTTGCACTTGTTTGTGTGTATGTGTATGTGTGTGTGTGTGTGTGTGTGTGTGTGTGTGTGTGTGCGTGTGCGTGCGTGTGCGTGCGCATGCGCGTGCGTGTTGGTGAAACATCAAACCAATAATGTGCCAACGTCTAGACAATAAAGGCTTATTATGTTATCTTATCTTTGTACTGGTCCCACTCAAACTTGACACCCTAGGCCACTGCTAGACCGTCATGTCCACAATTCACAAAACATGTAGATCTATTTACACATACTCGTAAGTTGTGATTGAATGCAATGGTGGAAAATGCTTTAAGCAACCCTTGGCACAACTTAGATCACTTAGGTTAGAAGGTGAGCCGCTTATTCAGGCTTCAACCGCACTTGTCAGGAGATTACATGGCGTGTGTGAGAAAGTTTTGGAACGTGTTAGTATTTGTTTTGTTGTTGTTGTTTTGTTTTGTTTTTGTTTTGGGGTTTGCTGTATTTGAGGGGGCGGGGGATGGGTGGGTGAGGAGTCCTTGAACTTGAGTTGCTCTTGAACGATTCACATTCTCCAAGCTCTTTGTTCGGTCTTATCGTGGGAATGCATGATGATATCAGGAATCTCTTCTTACGTGATCTCACTGAGTTACAAGAGCTGTTACATCAAAATCATGTCACAAATTATTATATATAAATCCAGAGAGAAAAAATACACGACAGCACACGCAAATAAAACTTTCTGGGATGACGTACGGTGTCGCGGCAGGTATTATCACTGTGTCGTTCGTAGAGAAAGCGAAGGAAGGAAAGAAGAAATGAAGGAAAGAACGAAGGAAGGACGGAAGGGAGGAAGAAGGAAGGAAGGACGGAAGGGAGGAAGGAGGGTAGGTAGGTAGGTAGGTAGGTAGGTAGGTAGGTAGGTAGGTGGGTAGGCAGGTAGGAAGGTAGATAGGTATGTGGGTAGCTGGTAGGTGTTTTACCCCGTGTTTAAGGCCATTGGCCCACACCACATGAAGCATACACATCCTACAGAAGAGACTTCTGTATAAGCAACATAAACTATAAATGACCTGTAGATCTATATAACATTTTAAAGTCTTAGAAAAATGAAAGGTCCATTTAAAAGGGATTAAATCCACAATTATTTTCTCTCCGTCTATTTAGTCTCACCCCTATGTAGTCTCGGTGTTAATGATTTCGCACTGGTTATGATTCTGCTACAAAATGTAGATTGGAAAACGCATACGGCTTGTTGTTGGGCGGGAATTTGCGCTATACAATTATTATTATTAT